GAAGGGGACAGGAGGGTCAAGAAGCAGGGGCAGGAGCGGGGCCTCGAGAGTTAGGCGGCGTGGCCTCTGAGTGCCAGGAAGAGCTGTGTCAGAGCCGTCCTTTTTGCGGACCCTGCCCCAGGCACACAGGGCCAGCCGCCCTCAGGGAACCCGGTGTTCCTCCCGTTCCACCAGGAAGGGTGTTTCACCTTTCCCTGTCCCCTCTAAGAGGCCACCAGACCCCTCTGGCACTCCCCTAGGCACAGGGTGAGAACTCACTCTTATTCTGTAGTGGATGGCTCAGGCCAAATTCTCCCTCACTCAAAGCTGAAATCTGACCTTTCTCCAACCGGTGCCCCTCCCCAGCTGCCTGGTCCAGACCCAGGGCGGGGTGCGGGTGGAATGGGGTAGGAACAACTGCCTAGGGTCACACGGAGGGTCGGAGGAGCCAGGAAGACAGGCGTTCCCGGCTCCTGCTCTTGCCCGAGGCTCGCGCTCTTTCCCGGGATTCCTTAGGGCTGGGACGCTGCCCCGGGGGTGCTGCAGGGGTCGCGGCGCCCACACGGCCTCTGAGCGTCTCCTCACTGCCCTGAGCTTCGGAGAGTCTGAGCTTCAGCCCCAGGCGTCCTGCCCAGATCCAGGGTGGTGCCCGCGGCTCCGGGGCAGGCGAAAGTCTATATGCGCGGCTTCTGCGGTCGCAGGGTTAGTTCCGGAGGGTGTGAGGCCAGGGCGAGAGGCGTGGCTGTGCGACCCCAAGCCTCGGGGTGGTAAAGAAAGGGGCGGGGTCAGAGGCAAGTAAAAAGGGTGGGCTCAAGGCCAAGGGGCGAGGAAAAAGGGAGGCATCCGATGAGTGGCGGGGCCGAGGCAGAGGTACACTCTCCAAACCCTGGACCTCTGCGCTCACGCAGGGGCCCTGTCCGCACGCCTGTCCCAAGCCAGGAGGGGCACGGATGGAGGGCATGGCCCCGACTTTGGGACGAGGTGTGTGTGCGGGCCGCGGAACGCGCCCCCCCTACACGCACACGCACACGCACCCGGGGTTTGGGGCTCGGAACTGACCTCGGGGTTGTGTCCCAGGAACCTTAAGGCCAGCGCGGCAGGAAAGGCCTGTCTCGGGTGGACGCGCTACGTGGCCCCCGCCGCGCCCTGACCCTCTCTGGGTATGTTTCCGCTCTACGGTCTTGGTGGCCAGCTCCTGACCTACACGTTCACTGAGGGTCCTGAAGGGAGAGATTAATGGGGTACTCTCCGCATAGGGGTAAGCTGTGACTCTGGAGCAGGACTCCACAAGCGGGGGACGGGGGTGGGAGCAGAGAGAGCGTGTTGGGGGAATTGGGACAGGAGGCTGAACCTCAGCTCCCAGCACCCAGATCCTGCCACTCCCTTGTGACCTCAAAAGCCCGGGCGCCCCCTCCCTCCCACAGGCAGCTGGAGCCTGAGTCACAGCTGCTTCAGGGGAACAAAAGAGCCAAGGGCCCTCCCTGCCAGACCCGCTCCCAGTACCGGCATCCAGCTATGCTAGCGGGGAGTCCCTAGTCCCCTACAATCTCTGTCTCCATCATTGAGGAAAGAGAAGCAAAACAGGCTTGGCGATGAGGGCTTTCAGATTGTGGAAGGCACCCACAGTGGGGATCACCAGCTTCTCAGCCAGGCAGTTGTGGGGGCTCTCATGAGGCTGCCTGTACCTGGGTGCTTCTCAGTCGGGGACCCATGGGCTTCACCCTGTAGTCCTGTTAAAGAGGTGTTAGCAGCCCATCTTGCAGATGAGAAAACTGAGGCCTAGAAAGGTTGAATGAATAAGCAGAAATTGCAACCCACATTAGTCTGGCTCCAAAATCAAGGATAAGCATCTCCGTATGAGGGGCTGGGAAGGCCCGGGGCCCACGTGGGAGCCAGGGTGCGTCAGGCATCGGTCAGGTGGTCAGTTTAGGCACTGGGTGTGCTGTCGGGGGGTAGGAACACTTCCCTGGGCTCTGGGCTCTGGGCGTGGGTCCTCCAGCTGCCCCCTGCACTGAACTGGCTGGCTGGAAGGCAGGTTCGAGGCTCACGGTGCAGAGCCCAGGCCAAACCCTGACCCTTCATGGCTGTAAGCCAGTCATAGCAAGTCACTTCCCCTCTCTGAGTCTTGGCTTCCTTTCTAGGAAATCCAAAATTCCCTGACCCAGGACCAGATGGACTGGTCACCCACCATCTAAAATGGGGATACTGAGGCCCAGCACAGGCTTTCCCCAATGTCCACAACCTCTCCGGACCCCTGAGCCTTGCACAGCCACAGCTAGGTACTGGGCGGGGGCTCAACAGTAACGAAGGAAAGAACATATTTGCACAGGCACATCTGACATGCATGCGTGTACTGACACACATGTGTACACAGGTGCCCATGGTACAAGTAAGGCACTCACAGTCAAGCTAGCCCCAGACATGCATACTCTCACTCACATTTGTGAGCACTGGCACACTCAAACTGCCAGTACTCACAGCTGGGGGCGAGGCAGGTGCCCTTCAGACGCAGAGACACGGCTCCTCTGCC